AATACTAGAATTGCCCCAAAACAGAGGTATCCAATTAAAGGACATCTATCAAAACACTACAGAAAGAATTATTGTACTGGATGGAGTACTGTCTCACTGATTGCCAAACTATCTTCCAGTTTTAATACACTAGGATTCCATGGATCAGTTTTGGTTTTGTGGATAATCAACAAAGGAAAACAGTTACTAAAAATACTAATAACTTTTTTGGTAATATCTGCATTTTCCAGATCGACTATCTACAATATATACCTATTTCATCCATCAGAAAATGCCTTAACTCTACTTCACGTTGTATAGATTCTTACTATGTGCGTTACTGGTTTCAAGTTGCTTTTCAGGCTCAATTTTCTGCATAAATTAATCTTCAACAGAGAATTTTTTTAAATCAAAGGTGGAAAATTTTTCTCAACATACCACTTCACTAAAACACTGAAATCCAATTTAATTTAATTTCTTCACTTATCATTAACCTATTCTTCACCATTATGATTTTTAGTAATAAAGAGAAATTTTCCTTTCAAAAACAACATATAAACCTTGTTTTCCACAGCTACACCACCCTTATATCTCAAGTCCTAAGGTTATATTTCAGTGTAACTATTTTCATTCTATGGCAATTTCAGTTGAATATTCTGTCAGATTCCATTATTGTCAACATATTTCTAATGGTCATTTCTATTCTATAGCTCAGCAAAGGTGATTTATATCACTGAACAGGGTTGACCTGGGTGACTAATGCAATATTGCAGAAGTGACAGTACATATGTAACTTCTGAGGCTAGGTCATAAAAGGCCTTATGCATTAGGTTCTACCTTAGAACCAAGAACCATCTTAGGTTCTCAGATCACTTGTAGGGGAAGCCAGTCACCATGTTCTGACAACTCTCAACCACCCCTTCGGAGAGGTCCAGGTTGAGAGAAAATAGGGCCTCCCACCAACAACTAGGACTAACTTGTCAGCCTCTTGAGTAAGCCACCTGGGAAGCGAAAATGCCAGCCCTAATAAAGGTTTCAGATGACTGCAGGCCAGCCAACATCTTGACTACAACCTCATGACAGAGCCACAGCCAGAACCACCAAGCTAAGCCACTCTTGAACTTTTGTCTGGGAGAGACTGTGTGAGATAATAAATGTTTATCGTTATTTTAAGCCACTAAGTTTTGGGGTGATTTATTTCACAGCAGTAGATAACTAATACACAGCACAGCCCATATCCCACATATATTCATGCCATCATCAATATAGAAAGGAATATATATTACTTCTTAAAGTCTATTTTATGGTGTTTTTGTTTGTTGATTTTATTTTTTATCTTTTTTCCTTATAAAATCTAAATATTTAAGAATAATTGCATGATCAAATATTCATGATACAATGTCAAATGAAAAAAAGTAAGTTACAAACTCTACACAATAAGAATTACTCCAAAATGCTATTAGCACTTTTGCCTGTCCTGTGGCCCAGAAGCAGCAATCCTGAGCTTTATAAATTTGGCTTCAGTAGGACAGTGGCCCAGAAAGCCAGCATGATAAACCTGAGCACATCAACATCGAGCTTCAAGTCTGTTCGTTTACCCCAAACCATGCACCAGCCTATCTCAAGATGCTTGAAGTCAACATAATACAATCAAGAAACAATCCTAGAAGAACTTCACATCAGAAATGAAGCATGAGTTTATACTTTTTTATTATGAAATGTTAAGAATTTAAAAGCTCAGAATAAAGCAGTCATTAGAAATATTATAACAACAATGGTAGTCACCATTTATTGAACTCCTACAGGTATCATTTATCATTCACTATATCATCAGCAAGAATTCTCTGAGGAAGGTATTATTATTACAACCCCTGACCCCTTTATACATGAGGAAACTTTTTAAATGGCTTGCCCAAGGTCAGCCAGGTTGTAAGTGGTAGAGTTGGGATTCCAGCCAGGGTCTGCCTGATGCCAAATCAGTGATCTTTCCACTTACGCTATACAATACCCTCTAACTTTAAATAAAGTTCTCTCAGAAAGTAATTCATTTGAGACAAACTACTATTTTAGACATATGAATCAACTCGACATTCTAAATTATTTCACTGCTTTCCTGGGCATATATAAATGGTCATCACTCTTAGACGTTCTCTACATTCAGATAGATTACAATATAAACAAATTATCTAAGTGTCTTCTATCTGCTATCTCTTAGTCATCATCAATATTGTCTGTCCTATAATAACAGCTCCCATAAGACAAAAGGATTCAACTTAAATTTATTGACTGACTGCATAAATTCCATCTTTAGCTTTTTAGTAAATAGTATCAACTTAGAGTACCCATTAAATATTAGTGATTATTATAATTACCTCAATTAAAAAGTACCAAAAGAACTAATGAGGTTTGGTGAGCTCCTAAAGGATGTTTTTCAAGTCTCAAGATTTTTTATCTTAATTTCAAGTCTGTGACAAATACTTTTGAGTAACATATGGCAGGGATTTATCTATAGGTTATCTACCTTTATTCAGAATCTTTTTACTAAAATTATAAGACTCAAATATACTCAACCTCCAAGTACACTTGGAATTCTCAGCCCATAATGTTTTCTTATTAGATTTAAACTACTTTTTTTTCTTAAACTTCTTTTTATTATAGATTTACATATTTTATTAAGTGAATCTGAGAAATAGTGCATTTGAGAGATAAACCTGCTAGAAATTACATTTTAAACTACTAAAACAGTGGTGAAGGAGCAACAACATGGGCAAATTTCCAGGTCATAAAACCGAATTGACTAAAATGTTAGCGGAAATCTATTCCTAGTTGTCCAATTAATTAAATAAATTTAAAGACTAATACTTGTTATGTCAAGGGCAAGAAAAAAAAAAAGAAAACTAGCCTAGAGGGATTGAATCCTCTTCTTTTTCTAGCCCCCTTTAAGTTATTTCTGGGAGTCTTACATCCTAGACTTTGTATGAGTTTGTCTCAGTTTGCTTCATTCAGTATATTTCCAAGCCTTTCCTTGATAATAATTTCACTCCCCTGTATGCCTTCTCTTGGCAACAGCTGACCTGGCTACAAGCCCAAAACATGGTAAATGACAAATCACTACCAGATGAATCTGTGCTTTACACAGAGTATTTCCTCCAGGCTCAGAACACTTTGAGGCCCAATAAAATTACTGGAATGATTCAGAATCACAGTGAGATCCATTTTGAGGGGGAAATCCTCTGGTTCTGCTAGATGATAAAGCACTAATGAAGAGTCCCCTAATTTTAAAAATCAGAAAATAGAAATAAGTTGTGATGGGCCAGACTAGAAAGAAAGTTATTAAACAGATGATATCGTGATAAATTCTCAGCTTTTAAATTATTTTCCTGGTAGTTTCTTTATAATAAAAAAATTTCTTATAAAAAATTAGGCATGACAATTTTTTATTAAAACATTACAAACCAAACTCCTCAAAGAAAAAAAATCACACAATCTCACCATTAAAATGGTTGACTATACCTTTTTTTAGTATTGTTACTTTTAGTTTTAAATATTTGTGACCATGCAGTATTGGTATATGATAATCTAATCAACAAATAATAAAGTTTTACTTTTTAAAACTTCATTATTGGTTTTATGGATGGTTTTTTTTTAAAAAAAGATTTCATTTTTCCTTTTTCTCCACCAAGCTCCCCAGTACCTAGTTGTATATTGTAGTTGTGGGTCCTTCTGGTTGTGGCATGTGGGATGCTGCCTCAGCGTGGCCTGACAAGCGGTGCCCTGTCTGCGCCCAGGATCCGAACAGGTGAAACCCTGGGCCGAGGAAGGGGAGCACGGGAACTTAAGCCCCTATGGACAGGTTTTTAAGAGCAGATGTACAATAATTTTTTCTAAGATCTAATGAATTAAAAAATAAACAAAAATAGAAAATTCAGTCTACAACTGAATCCACAATAAAAACAAACCTACCCATTTGAATCACAAAGAAAATAATCTTAGTAACTCTTCTGCATATCTATAATGTATAACTTTTCATCTCTTAGGAGCCTTAAAAATCTACCTTTCTCAGTCCCCAACCTTAAACATCAGATTTAAAAATCTTACTCTATCCCACATGCCACATAACTTGTTCTGAAAAATAGTTGGAAAACCACTTCCCAAATATATGTGGCATAATTTGGGGGGAATGTTTATAATATATTGAACGGTTATGTATACAAGTAAAAACGTACAAGGTCAATCAAATTAAAACTGAACATCTGTAAAATGCTTTGTAAAAGAATGTAAAAAAACTTATAAATCAATTTGTGGGTGTTTAAAACAATACATATTTTCCCTGTACTTTGCAGATTCGATTTATTCTCAGGCTTAATGATGCTTACACAGGTTTAGCCTTTGGCAAATCTCAAGGAACCAAATTTCTCTATAATTCCCTTCCCACTAAAGTATCCTCATTAAATTTTGGTATAGTGGCAAGATCTTGCAATCAGAAGTCCTAGGTTTCAATCTTTTTCCCTTTACTAACTATGCAAATTTAAGAATGTTACTAAGCAGGAGCCTCAGTTTCTATACTTTGAAAAGTGGAATTTTGGTGATGGTTATTTGATGATGGCCTATTTACGAAGGATAGTTTTTAGGATCAAAATCAAAGTGAGAGGATATATAGGTAAAATGCTGTTTTAAACTATAGAACACTCCATAAGGCAAGAAGTGTTATTCCCAGGACTGCCCTCTCTGGCCTAGCAATATTTATGCTGCATCCTTTCTTCCATTTCACTGCTCTGTGATAGGAATCAACTCCAAATATCATCCTCCTAAATCTCAGGACTCATTTCAATTATCTGATAATAAGAGACCTAGCGCACTATCTGAGAAATTTAAGTGCATTTCTTGGGGTTTTCTAAGAGCCCTGTTCCCACCATGTTCTCTAACTAATTAGTAATTGGAATTAGTAATTCCCCACTGGAATTAAGGCCTTGGCAGAGGAACCATAAAGCCCTACTTACAAAAGGTTTTGGCAAACTCACCGCTTCCACATTTTCCCTGAAACTGCAACCCAGACAAGGCAGATGTGAATTTGAAATGAACGAACCTTTTTCCTGCTGCAGAAGGAGAACATGAAGGGGAGTTACTAACATTCAAGCAAACAAACAAATGGGTATGTAAAATGAAACACTAAAGTTTATCCTTTTACCGGTAGAAGAAAAAAATGTAGAATTACTATGCAACCCACACTCTAACCCCATCTCTCCCCCTCTCCCAAAAAGTACTCCTTGACTGTGAGACTGACTTCTGGAAGCTGTTATTTTTTTCTAGGTAAAAGTCTAAGGGAGTTTCAGGGTTTATTAAGGTTACCATTTCTTTAATATTGTACTCACGATGAACAAGCCAAGGACTATGCTAAAGACAGAAATATCAACCCCTTATCCCCAATCTACTGTATGACTGGAAGAAGTAGGGTACATTATGAAAAATTAGCATTTTTCCTAAGGTGACGAACTTTCACTCCTTTGAAACTTTGCATAATGTATTAGTATCAAGAGAACTTAACTACATTGCTTTGTGGGGGTAATGTACAAAAAACAAAAGCAAAACAACTCAAGCTTTTTAAATTAGTTAAGAAACTGCCTGGAGCACCATTCTTTTCTGTCATTACTGTTTATTACCAGTTTAAACTGCAAAATTGAAATGAATGCTCTGTTCTTCAGAAAAACAAAAGAAAAATTACTATTACATGACTGAGATAAACTCCCTTGCACCTTCCCAATTTGCAAAGATCTCTTCCCAGGTTTTTCCTGTCTTCCTCCCTGGCCTGAAGCCACTGCCTGGGTAAGGGCCACCCAAGATTGACACTGAATGAATTCCAGGCAAATTCCATATGCAGCCTGACTTTTCCTCCAGTACAGAGTACTACAGTAAATGGTTATAACTAAAGCAGCATTGTCCACAGGCTCTGAGTATTTAAGGTTGATGACCCTCCAAAATGAAATTTCAATGAGCTAAAGATGGAAGTAAAGAAAACTTCAAAGGGTCACATCTAGACGACACCTTCCTGTCTCAGGGAATTGCTTGCAACCTCCACCCTGATGCAGACTAAAGAGAAGGAAAGCCTGTCAAACCTCATTGACCATAGGTAATGGTACAGGGTAATTTCTTCTGATAATGTCACCCGAAAAGGAAATCCTACAGACTAAACCGATTAAGACCTCAAGGGAAATATCACATGAACGAAATTGTTTTTTGTTTTTTGCTTTTGGGGAGTTGTGGGGAGGAGAAAGGGGTTGTAGATGGGATGTTTTAAACTGATTTGGGCCTTTTTTTGTAGAAAGACAGAAAATGGAACTAAATTTGAGAAAAAAAATGTTGTGATATATAACAACAAATACATCTCTTACAAGATCCCCTATTAGATATTTATGAACTCTTATATCCTTGGTTCCCCACAATCAGAAAGCACGTGCTTTTTCAAGAACAGTTATTTCTTTAAAAAGAAAGAAAGCTGATTTGGGGATCTTGAGCAGTTTAATTCTTACTGTGTGCTTCTGAGATGAGACAGGAAAATATGGTTTGATTAGCTGAACTGATATCCTGTGAATACATATTTAATACAAACTTGTTTATAGCATTCATTTATTCATCTATAAACATAGTGATTAAAGAAGATATAAGTATTAACATTTAATATTAACATTTAATTCTAGTACTTTCAAGTTCAGATGTCTTATGTGAGTAGATTTCTTATGCTTATTATGGTATCATATATTTTTATTTGAAATGGATTTTTTAAATGAAGACAAAAACTTGATTCTATGTTTTAAAATATTTTTATTTCCCCTTTTGGCCAAATTTCTCTTTTAAATTACGTTTTAAAAAAGCACGAGTGTTTTAGGTCTTTATAATGACCACTGATGTATTTTGAAATACGTGTGTATATTAATGGAATGTACTTGACATTCCAAGATAATACTTCTGATGATTCTATAGTCATATGAATGTGAACAGGCTGTGAAAGGTTCATCTTGCCTGCCATCCCTATATGTTACAGGGGTGGAAATAACTGTTTTTTGTTAAGAACATCTAAACTTTTCAGACTATACAGCTAGCTACAACCTATGATAGCTAGTAGGTGGGTCTACCTTCCTAACTATTTACCAAGATGGATCCCACACTATCCTGTATTGTTTGAAAATAGGCTTTGCTGTACCTTTTTTCTCATTCAGTTTGACACTGCAGTCGGCACCATCATTAGTATCTCCATGTGTCACCTTCTATACGTTCCCCCATGAGACTGCACTTTTCTGCAAAATAAGACTCATTTTAAAAAGTTATCCATGGCACTCAGGAACTTTGATTTGGTGAGAAGCGTGAAACCATACCATCAGGCACATTTGCTAGCCTTCTTGATTTGGTTTTCTACATTTGTTTGAGTATGTTTTTGAACAGTGACTCAGGTATCAAAATCCTAAAAGACCATAGGTTATTTGTTATTAGTGAAATTACATGCTTCTACAAGAAAACCTCCTTAATGTAGGTTAAAAGAAAAGAGTTCTGTCCACTGGTAAAAGTCTGACATGAAACTTAAAAGCTGTTGTTATTTCCAAGTCACTACTTTTCAAGTTATTACTTAAGTTATAAGAAATATATATTATTATTTAAGTAACTAAATTAAGGCTAACAAATTTCATTCAGGAGAAATATTTTTAAAACTTGCTTATTAAAAATTCCAACTCCTATGTTTTCCTGATTGTAAAAGTAATTGAGGACACATATTGAAAATATTTAGAAAATGTAAAATCATTTTAAAAAGAAAATAAAAATCACCAACATTTTGACACACTTCATTCTATTCTTTTCTATCCCTATATTATTCTGCATATAGTTGAGATCATACTTTATATATGACATCCTTTTTTACTTAACTGTATAATTTTCTCACTTGAAAATCTCTTCAGAAAAATAACTTTAAGAACTATACAATATTCTATTCTAGAAATATACTATATCTTAATGATTCACCTATTTTGGATAACTTGCATGCTCCAAATAGCTTGCTATTAAAAACAACTACAAATTTGTACTCCTTTTGCACAAATCTGAGTCTATATTTAGGATTATTTCCTCAGGATAGATTTCTAGATGTGAGATAGCTGAGGAAAAGTTATGAATTTTTTTAAGGTCCCTCTTCCCTAATTTAAAATAAGATAATGTTCTTTGGTTACTAGCAGTAAATAAAAAAGCAATGGGAAAAAAATGCCCATAACTTTCCTCCTTGTGCAACCACATTCTGTTCATATTTCCTTCCAGTCTTTTTTCATTCATTTTAACATATTTGAAGTTATTTTGCATATATACTTTTATAGCCATCTTTTCTCATCTAACATATCAGAAGCATTTTCATATGGCATTAAATTTATTTATAGTTATTATTAATGACTGCATTATGTTCCACCATTTGAGTGAAGCATAATTTACCTAACTATATCCCTGGGCATTTAAACTGTTTACAATTTTTCCTTGTTAAAAATAAGGCTGTGCCAAACGTCTTTGAGTATAAACCTTAGTGAGAATTTTATATCATTTTCTTTGCATAGATTACTAAAAAGGGAAATACTGCAATATAAACATCTTAAAGCTTTTTTGCTAAATATTGTTAAAAGCTGAACCAGTTTTTACTCCTAGCAAGAGTATAGATGACCTACCCCCTCACCAGCATTACACATCTTTTATAGGCTTTGAAATCTGATTTGAGTAATGAGTAACCTCATTACTCTATTATTTGTATTTTTTCAGATACTATTGAGGTTAAAGTTTTTTTTCATATGCTTCTTAGCCATTTGTGGCTAAGTTCCTCTTTTCTAAGATAGTCATGCTTTTTGCCCATTTATTTATGGGATTTATTATTTTTCTTATTGAGTTACATGAGCTCTTTATAGAACAAGGTTATCAATTCTTTGTCACATTTACTGCAAATTTATTTCACCATGTTAGAAAATTTACTATTTAAATAATACACAAAGCCAATTTTATTTAACATATCATAGTTCACATATAAATGGTACACCAAAAAATTCCCTGAAATATTTTAAATATTACCAAAATAATAATTGTGTAAATTATCCATGAGTAGTCACTCTTTCTTAAGAAAGGCTAACTTCCATTTATATGATCATCAACTCTAAATTAGCAGAATTTAAATTAATAAGCCTTTTCTGAAAGTAGATTAAGTGTGCCACCTACCTTTTGTCACTTTAAAGGCTAGAGATGACCATAAAATGATAATCGTAATTCATGTGGTTTTTCTCATATAGGAAAAGTCCGTGCATATACAGAGATGCTACCAGATATAGATATTCCATAGGGATTTCTACAGTTTTATAGCCTATTCAGCATAAAAGGATTTCCAGAAGACAAGAAACAATGCATAGCATCAACTTCAGGTCCTCTACAGGATCCTTAATTTGAAAGAGTAAAATAAGCAAACAAATCAGTTTTCATATAATAAATATATTTTTTAAGTGGAAAAATATCTAAAAAAATCTTGGCAAAACTCTTCCTTTCATTACATTAATAGTAGGGAATGGATTTCACAAAAATACTATTTCATTTTAATTCACTCAAGATTATAAAAGTAAGTTATTATTTTAATCAGATGGACATTGTCAATATAAGCATTTATCCCACAGAATTCTCAAGTGACAGATTGTCTTTCTAGTTCCACATAGTTTTTTAAAATACTTTTAATTATATTATATACTTTGAAAGTTATTTTGTAAATTATAAAAAGTTTATCAAATTATTATTCATGTCCTCTCATTTTGATGCTTTCGGGGGTTTAGAAAATTCTCAGCTAAAAAATATATTTAAAAATCTACATGGGAAAAGAGTTTGAAGCCTTCATTCTATAAGTAAAACATATTAATTTCAATTTATTAGCAACCAAGCTGGCCAATGAATATTAAGAATTTCTACATAAGCAGCACCACTACCCATAAATGTTTCACTCTTAGAGAAATTTAACCAAGCATATATTAGAATGCGCTAGTTAAAATCTTGTCAGAACATTTCAGATTATTTTCAGAAATAAAGCAATTTCAAATTGTTTAGATCTTTTTCTAGTTGAAAAAAATATGATGCAATTAAAGCCAATTCAGATATTCTCTATCAGTAATAAATCAGAGGTAGGGGGATGGTAAAAACTCAGCTCAGATGTAATCTAATTTCAAGATATGCTCTCCTTAATTTCTTCATAAAAAATTAGAAAACTTCCATGTTGTTCCCTTACAAACATACTCATGTATTAACATTTTACTGGCTAAAAAGTAGGGCATTTTTCTCATTAACAATGAAATCAACAGTATACATTTTAAGAATCTACACTTTTTCCATGGGATCCAATAAAATGAAGAAACAATCTTTTATCATTTACAATGTAACACAGTCTGCATGTGAGATATTGTGTGGGTTTCTTTATTTGTATGTTTAATATTTTAATTTTCCAATGAGTATATATACCATATTTATAGTTAGAAAAAAAACAGAATAATTTTTAATTAGCCCCAAAACATTCTTCTCTGATATACCTTCCTGAAAAAAAAGTTTGCTTAACACAGCACTACATATTATTTCCGTTAGGGGAAAAAAATGTTAGTAGTCCTAAAAATGAAGCCATGAAGTCATCATATCTACTATTATAATTTACCAAATCAAATAGTTCACAAATAAAAATATGCTGGCTCAAAATCATACTTTTTTTTAAACAATTACTGTAACTAGGGATCCATATATGGTTTTCTCTTCAAGCATTTCTGAATCATCTAAGTACTGCATGATCATTCCTGTTCTTTTCTCCAAAGTAAGTCAAACATAAAACAAATCTACCCTGATTCACATACATACAAAGGCTTTGTGTCTAATGATTTGGACATGATGAAACTGCTGGAACCATGCCTTTGACGAAACAGATGGAATGCAGCTAAGAAAATAAAAAGTAAAGCTTCCAATTCTGAATGCACTGTTACTTTGTCTAAACATAGCTCATTATTTCAAATTATAAAATGTAAAAATATATCTAGCGCTGGCATACTTTATGAAATGCAAAAGAAAACAAAACAACGTAGGCTCTTCATTATAGTATCTTTGTAAATTGATTGAATACATCAATTATTTCAAAATGACTTTGTTGAGTTTTTTGTTTTGGTTTTTTTTTTTTGCCTTGACATTGGCTTTGAACATTTTGGAACAGATTCACAAGGGAATTCATATAAAATTGATGCCTAAATTGTAATCCTTAATTTTAATGCCAACATGTTTATAATGACCTATAATCTTAACTAAGGAATATGTACTATAATATTCTGTTAACCAGATACAAATATAATTAACAAAGGATTATAAATGTTAACTATATTTATAATTCCTCATATGTAAAATATTATGTAATATTAAACATCTTAATTATGATTATCTAAGTATTTTGGTAATAAAACTGCATATTCTAATACTTTTTAAAATATAAACTAGTGTTTTAATTTTTATTGTTACTTTAAGAAAAGCTTAAATTTAAGAGCATTATTTCCTTAATACAAAGAATGTTTAATATGTAGTTGATCAGAAGGGAAATAAACTCTTATAGTGTCTACAAAATCTTTCTTTTTATATTTTTGCAATTTCATTTTAGTAATGATTTCAAGTCTATACAGAAAATACCCAAAGAAATATATCACAATTTTTAAAAAGTGGTTGCTGCAATATCGTTTTTCCCAGAAAATATTTTACTTTGCCAGCTCAGTAACAGAAGTTAATCTTCACTGCCTTAATACTGTATTTCCCTCCACCATAATAGCAACTTAACGTGAAGAATCAAGATGTTAATAAAACAATAAAAAACATTGAAATTTATCACTATTTTACCTTGAATAAAAGCTCAATTTCCAAAGACTTTATCAAAAATAAAGAGTGAAAGTGTACTTGGAACTAAGAGTCTATTAAAATCCACCTTATTTACACTCTAATTCTGATCAATTACTTTTATACACCTATAGAGAATAAATTCAAGATATGACTGACCAATTTTCTAAAAACACTATAATAACGTATTTTCTACAACACATTATTTGAAAATTTTTTCCAAATGGAATAAATATCAGCTCTTCATTTGTGCAATTTAATTCAAATTTTGGTTATTTTTGCTATCATTTCAGTTGTTCATAAATCTCTATTTAGCATTTCTCTTTGATAATTTAAGATAAAATGTTTTATCAACAGTATTATTTTAAACATTTTCTTGCTTTCTAAGGAGAAGAGTAAAAAAGAAATGCCCTAAAATTAGAGATGTTTTACTTGAAATTTAAATCTTGCTGAGACTTTTGGCTTGTTCTCTTAAAAAAAAAAAAAAACCACATTTAGCAATAGATACGATAAACAGCAAGGCAGCCAAAATAAGTTATACTTGAGTATTAAGGGTATTTTTACTTTATCTCTCCTTTCCCCTAAATGCCTAGAAATCCTTTCCAAAGACAAAATGCTGATTAAACTATAATATCCTAGGTAGATCTAACAGTGGCCCCAGCTGAAAGACAAATAATGGCATTTTACCCATTACATTTTCATTGAACTTAAAAGATATGAACTAATTAATTACTTGTGAGCATTTTAAATACATCAAATATAGTATATACTTATAAATTGCCAGATTTGTAATGAAGCATTTTCCTATACTTAAAGTTTTAGTAGGAGGAAAAAAAAGAAGATACTAGATTTCCAACCTAAAAAGATCAGCACTGAACGTATTTCAAACTGCATGTCCTATATATTAACAACTTACTTTAAAAACCACCAATATTCTGGAAAGTCTCTAGAATTACTAATACATATGCCTTTGGTCAATTACCTATTGTCACCACAACTGCTGATGGTCAGAGAGTTTAACAGGTTGCCAACTGGTAAGCTTTATATGAGGAAATTGCAAAAAGAGCCAGAGTCAAAAAAAAAAAAACAAAAAACATGCCACGTAAGTCCTGGAAAGTCCTCCACCCTAACTGGTGCTCTAGAACTCAGTGCCTATGCTAGAAGGAACTACAGACTTTCCCACTTAACCTCACCATTAGAGACTCTTTAAAATCAGAGTCTAAGCCAGAGAGAGGCAAACACCTGAAGACAGAGACATTTACTGTAAAGTTTTTTAAATGTACCCCTCAACAATTAAAATAGTGAGAAAAGTCTAGATGAATGCAATATATAGTAGAAAGTCTCAACTATTAGAGCTGAAGCATGACTTGTTCTGAATTTCTAGCTGGCAAATATCAGCAATATATTTACCCCCTGGATTTCATCATTTTCAAAAGCTCTCAAGTTGGAGTTTTTAATTTCCTCTTGGTTCTATTTAGGGCAGAAGTACATTTTAAGAGACATTCACAAAAATAAAAGGTTACTATGCTTTACTTTAAACCACAAGTTTCCATAATTTTTCTCTTTACAACATGAAAATCAACACATCAAAATTTTAACATACTCTTTACTTCTCAAGAACCAGAAAAAAGTAATCTATGAGGAGTATTTGCCCCATGTAAATCCACAAGTTGGAAAATACCATAAGCAAAACAAGTGAACAGTAGCTCAATATAGAGAAAGGCAATACCCCAAAGCAAACTCTCAAACGCATCTAGGAGACAGTTTAAAGTTTAGCAAACAAGAAAGCCTAAATCCTTTAGCAGACACTCTGAATTAATGACTCATTACATACTCAACAGCTTAAAAATATTTTATAAAGCATAAAACGGTGGAATTGGTGATTTGGCAGTTATTTAGAAGTATGAAATACTTTCTAAAAATGGAAGCTAGCTGCATCATGATAAGCAAGCCAGTCTGATTATTTATTTTTCTCTGATCTAAACT